TTCTGCTTTGCTCGTGGCTGAACCTGGCATATACGAATGCTTATTCTTTACTGATAGGAATGTCCAGCAGCGCAGTATGGTACTTGCGTGGCTGTGAGGAGACTACTGAACAACCTATGTGCTACTGTGCATTCTTAAAAAATAAACGATTTTCACTAGAAGCTGTATGACACCTCTTTGAAGACAACCATTTCGGCAGGACACCACGTTATTTGTCTACGCAGCAACACATGCACGGTGTGCTTCTTCTGCGCTAAGTGACTTTGTTTATTTTTATTTATAAGTACTGCTGTCTCGATTTCGAGACATCGCATGAGTTGGTACACGTTTTAGTACGAACAACAACAACAAAAAATGACCGCCATTTTCCGAGTGGAAACACTGGTTAGCATGCGGAGCATATATGTTGAAGTGCGATAAGTTTATAGTTTGCTACATGCGTGTGTGTTATGAGTGAACACGAGTGAACATGAGTGAACACGCACGCATGTATGCTGCCAAAGACGATGTTTATTGATGAGACGCTTTGGGTATTTTGAGCAAGATGACTTTATGGTCCGTAAAGTGAAGGGCGAGTGGATCTGGTTGCAGCGGTCGAACGTCGAAATTTGCAAAGACGTGGTCAATGCACGTCCCGCGAACCATGATCGGATGATGTTTGCCGTCGTGCGTTGCTCCCTTCAGCGAGTGCAGCGACTCCATGTAGTCGGCCACCCAATCGTCCTTGATCACGTCGACGTTGAAGTCGCCAACTATCACGAAGGGTCGTCGTTGTGGTCGTTGTTTCAGGTATTCTTCCACGACTTCGTCGACGTACTTCTCCACGGCGGAACGACATCGGACGTGGAGCTACCGCACAAACCAACTGACGAAGGGCGGTGCGCCTCGACACTCGGTTATTTATAGTGAGGGCTGGCCCCGGCCTGCGCAAGCGCGCGTTAGCATACAGCTGGCGCACGTAAAACTTAAGGTCACGCGGCGCGCGGAGGGGAGAAGCGAGCGCAGCGAGCGCTGTGTTGAGAGGAAGAAGAGAGGCACAGATGGCTGGCGGAGGAAGAGAAAGGCTGCGGACGGCAACGGCGCATGACTAGCCCCTAGTAAAACATGCTCCGCATGTAAAAGGACAACGCTCAAATTATACAAACAAGATAAAAATATATGCTTACGTAGCTTTAGAACAAGATGTTTCATGAGGCTCAAGTACAGATGTAGATATGAACACAAAAAGAGAACAATCTCGAAGACTATGCAAAAACAGATTAAGGCCAGATGGAGTGACCTAGTTTCACAACGAACTCTGAATACATGAGCGAATTTGTGAAGTTGTTCCAGGGTTAACCAGTGAATGAAAAAAAATGAGAAGTTTAAACAGTAAATATATGCCCTGAGTAACTGAGTTGACGAATTGCAACTCATGATTACGGAGTTAGAGAGGGAGAGCAGAAAAGTAGGTCTTAAAGTAATCTGCAAAAAACGAGAGTAATGTACAACAACCTCGGAAGAGAACAGCGCTTCAAGATAGGTGATAGTGCACTTCAAGCTCCAAAAGACTACGTTTATGTAGAACAGGTAATAACCATGGAGCCGAACCACGAGACTGAAGTAACTAGAAGAATAAGAATGGGTGCTGCACATTTGGCAAGTACTCTCAAATTATGACAGGTAGATTACCACTATCCCTCAAGAGGAAAATATATAACAAGTGTATCTTGCCGGTGCTTTGCTGTGGAGCAGAAACCTGGGGACTTGCAAAAAGGGTTCAGCTTTAATTGAGGAGGACGCAGCTAGCAATGGAAAGGAAAATGGTAGGAGTAACCTTCAAAGACAAGATGAGATTAAGACATTTACGGGTACAAATTGGCAGCAGCAAGCACAGGACCAATTTGACTGGCGGAACATGGGAGAGGTCTTTGTCCTGCAGTGGACGTAGTCAGACTGATGATGAAGATGATTATGATTATATGTCCTAAAAGCAAAAATGTTAGCCTGTCAGTTTGCTTAGAGACACGTGTATTAGCGGGTACAAAAGAGAAGGGTGCCTGAAGACCAGATGCTGCATGGACGATGTTGTGCAGCGAAATAAACGTTAGCGTTTGCGCCTATGCTCAAGAGATATAGAGAAAAAAAATATGAGGAAGGTAGAGAGGTTAACTAGACTAATCTCCCTACCTACGCTCAAATCTGCAATGATAGGTCGTGTGCATGTGATGCAGGTGAGAAACTGTGATCATAGCAACCAAAAGTGAATGTGATAGCTTTTTTTGAGAATTGATTCTAGCTTAATTATGTCACATGACAGAAAAGAAGACCATACGCTTCAAGCATATTGTTGTATCTCACTAAGTTCTGATTTGTAGGCAGTCAGCTTACATTCTTACGTTACATTTTTTAGAGGCCAAGCTTCTCTTAGTCTAACTTTCTCACTGGTTATGCGCCACCAAGAAAAGTATAGAGAAGAAAGAAAAGAAGGAGGAAGAAATGTATGACAATTTCTCGCCTTATTTCTTAGGTCGCGTTACTCTGCCACTGCTCTCGGAAGAGCCGGTACTGCTGAGCGCGCTTTGCCCGAGTTCGCGAACAGCGGGTACCGCTCTCAGAACCTTGGATAGTCGCCGTAAGTGGTGGTGCACGAACTAAGCAGAGTGGTGGCCGTATTGACGACACTTGCGCTCGGCTTCCTTGGCTCGCATCTCGTCGGTGTTACCCGCGCGCCATCTATGTTCCCCCTGTGAACTATCAATGTGAGCTATGTCGTGACTAAACTCAATGAGTTGCGTGACAGTGGAAACACTATTGAAACGCCCTGCCGACTTTGTGAGCGAATATTCTGGAAAGTAAATCCTGTACGATATGTTTGCGAATACTGTATTCGAGAGGCTTACAGCGAGTCGATATGAGAGATATTGCTCTATAATTTACGATGAGCTGCTTATCACAGCACATAATTATTGGAACAAGGCTGGCAGTTTTCCAAGTTTTTGGAACAGTTGAAGTGCCAAAAAATTTATTGAGGATCACTAAGTTATTGGGCATTTCATTCTGAGTATCTCTTCAAGGACATGTTGGGTGTGGCATCAGGTTCCCTGCTTTTAGTCATGTTAATTTTTAGCAACAGGTTATGAAACCATGCGTGAGTTACCTCTAGATCGGGCAACGCATGTTCCAAGCAATGTATTAAGGGACGGCGAGAAGCAACACTTTGGATGAAGGGGGAGCTGCAGTATTCATCTAAGTCTTCAGAAATAGCGACAGGATCAGTCTAAGTTTGAACGTTGATAATCAATGTCGGAGAGTCATGAGAAGTGGGAAGTATTGATTTCCAACGTTTTCATGGTTGTCCTCCATGAACGTTGTAAACGTTGTGTTGTAATAAAAGTTTTTCGCTTCTCGTTTTTTCGTACTTAGCTCAGACTTTAGCAAAAAAAAAAGTGGAGGTGGTTTTGCTTGCACCTAACACGCCATATGAGATGGATTATGTCACGCGTGTACCAAGGGTGCTACAGGCTACGTTTTATTTATTTTTGAGGAACAAACTGTGTCACACAGGTGCACACCGTGTTATAAAGCTGACCTAACAATGCAGCAGCACTGCATGATATACGAAACAAAAGAAAGAATATTCTAGCAATTGTGCGAACCGCACGATGGTTAGCATGCTTGAAGTCAGTAACGGTGCTGAATTTCGGTTTACAGGGTTCACGAGTCCCGTTTAGTTGAAACAACACACCCCCGTGCTCGAATTAGTCATCTATTACGTCACACTAAAACATGTTGCAGCAGCTCTTCATTGATGAACACAAGGTCAAGAACAGTGCTATCTCTGGTTGGATGTTCAACCTTTAACGCCAAGTCAAACGAAGCAGCCATGTTAATCTTGGAGTCGCATATTGCCTTTCCACGGCCTGTTGAAGGTATGAAGTCGCTATCAATACAAGGAGCATTGTAATCACCTGTGATGATCATTTTATAAATACAAAATTGGTTACGGGTTATGTATTCTGTAATATGAAAATAAAACACATCTTCAGAACAGGGTGGGTGATAAACAGCACCAAACACCATCATGAAAGCAGATAATTTTATGTGACACCAAAGTGACTCAAAATTTGAACGTTCAGCTAGCACTGAATAGTCGATGTCGTTCCCAATAGAGACAGCAGCACCACCGCCTTGGCTGCATTCTCTGTCGATACTTATGACTGAATAAGCTAGCCGGAAAAATTCGGAATCCGATATTGCGTGGCACTTCCATGTTACCGTAACGTCTCTTGTACGTCTTCCTTTACTATGTTCACCTTCTTTTGTAAATTCGCGCAGAAAAGTTGATCGTGAAATATAAGCACGTGCTTATGTTCCGTGTGTTCACACTGGGCATTTCTAATCCTTTCTATTCTTCTTTGTTCACTATATCATCTATCACTAATCCAATCCCCTCATCCGCTTTAGTGTAGCCAACTCAAAACGTGGTCGTCTAACCACTCCACTTTCAACTTCATTGTAACCTCTCTCACTCTTGTTTGCAAGCTTCATTGTTTAGACCCTTAAAGCAATAGCACACCATATTTGCTAATGGAGAAAGCCTATTTGTGTGTCACATTCAATGGTTTTCGGCCTGTATGTTGAAGCCTCAAGAACTAATATTAAGCTTTTGCGAAGATTCTAAATGGGAACTTTCATAGCAGAGCCTTAGCTTTCAGTATTTCACTCGTAGAAGCTGCTATTGACGTAATACTTCAGCTGTTTCACAAACCAAAAAGCAGCCGGTATTACAATATGAATTTTTTAAAGCACCTACAAGCACATCAAACTGCAAGTCAGTTAGACCTAAAACAAGCTATAAAAGGAAATTTTGACGAATATTGCAATGCAGGGGCAATTATTCTCGGCATAATTAACTATGGTGCTCTGAGACGAAGAAATCAATATATTCGAGCACACCTATCAATGAAATCATGCTTACGGGAATTCACCTAAATGCTAAATTCGCTTTTGCTTCTTACCTATAGATATATATGGTGAAGTCCCCATCACTGCGTAGATCAAGCCTGGGTAAAGGGAACTGTACAGACCTAGAACTGGATCTACTCCGGCTATAATTGCACACACAAGACCTGTAACGAGAGATATAAGCACTTTCCTGCTTAGCTGTTATATTTCTGTCACATTGAGCATCGAAGTGGTGATTAGAATGAATATACTGCAAAACATCATATTTCAAAACTTGCACATCTGTTTCGAGAAAATATTCATCTTTGTTGTTAGCAAAAAACAATAGTCACTATCTCCTCGCATTATTAAGTCATGAACAATAAACCATGCCTGTGAACAACAAACATGGAAATTTCCACGCTGTTGACATCGCCCCAGTGGCTGATAAACTGTGTTCAGACGCCTTCATGGGCATCTGTTGGCGTCCGGCATTCATTTGCAGCCATGTTTAAAAGAAAGCTACTATTCGAAGGGATTCGCTGGTGGATGACTACGTGCTTAATAAGCATAGAGTTTCTTAAATTTAGCTACACGTCTCTATAGCGCTCTGATCATCAGTCACCATAGAAAGGATGGATAGTACGCAAATTTGCCTATTAATTGTTCATGCTCGAGAGCTTCAAACGCATTTGTGTTTGTTTATTGTTGTGATTTGCTTCTGTTTAAAAAAACGACCCATTGTGACATTTACTGACGCGATTTCATCTGGCGGGCCTGAAGGGTCAAGTTGCTGAAGTGTAACTACCGAACATTTGCTGGTTTTCGTTCTGTGGCAATGCAGCTCCACGTCACGCGAAGCCAAACAGAATCGAAAGTACAAAGATTGCAAAAGTTTGTGTACTACCCATTAGTCCTATGTTGGTTAAAGTGCCATGCGTAGCAGTTTTCATGGGCTCTGTAGCGACAGAGTTCCCTCCAGTGTTTTTAAATGAAACAGTAATGTAATAAGCACATCACAATGGTGCATAATAGCACAAGCTACTATAGTACCAGAGTGTGGACATTCCGCAAAATCTCACCTCAGGAAGTACGTCGTGACTTCGTAACAAACCAGTGCTCTCACTAAACGCCAGAGGTCGCAAGTGCGAGAAACAAAAGCATTATTATCAGTCAAACAGAATGTTTTTCTTTTACGAAATAATAAATATATGCCCGTATTCAGCATGTTTTATATATTTATAATCAATTTATTCAACACAGTTTACGTGGTTATTTTTGTTAAGCCGCACTGCCATAAACAACTTCTACGATTCACGTCGATTCGAGTAGCCGTCATACAAGGATGCGACAGGCCTAGGCATGACAGCAGGAATGCCTCGTAAACGTCGGCTGCTTCGTGTTCTCGTGTGTGAGACATCAGGTCAGGCAGCTTTTCTAGGGAAGCTTGTTGAATGACATGTTGTTGTGCTAGTTGGGTCATTGATTCAGAGAATGGTTACAACTTGATTGAAACCGCCTTCAATGCAGCGTGTTTGAAATGCGTCTGTGCGTTTGTATCTACATTGGCACCGACTAAGGACAGCGCGTTCGAAACGCGTTTGTGCTGCCTTGAAGTGGGTGAGCCAACTTCAAGTCAAGCATCGTTTATGAATATAGGGGTAAGACACCACGTAAGCAACAAGCACGCCCACACACGTTGCATTTCGTGTCGCGCGTGTTTCCATGTTTCTTACATGGTGTCTTATTCGCGCAGTTGTAACCTTTTTGTGAAGCCTTTGACAACGGCGAGGTTCGCTAAAAAACAGTTTGTGGTTGTATGCGGCGGCAAGACGTGAACACTGTGCAATGTGTGCAGTATAGAAAAGGGGGTTACGACGGCGTCAAGCCGAGGCGATGCGCGCTGGGTGCTGAGCTCGGTGCGAATCACTGGGCAGTTTTCGAATAGTGTACGAAAAGCTTGCGGGCGTTCGACTATTGCGTCGGTAAGTGATGCCCGCAACGCTGCGACCACATGCTTTGCGTACGCTATTCGAAAACTCCCTGTTGAGGAGAGATTGCTGGGCCTCTCATGCTTCACGACGTGTTTCCCGAGACCAGGAATAAATTCTGGTGCGCCAGGCACGAAGCGGAATCAGCCAAGTGGCTAACTTCACTATGGCCTTGCGCCACGAGTTCAAACTGCCCACAATTTTTTTACGTATCGAATAAATCTTTACCGGGCCAATTTCAACTCCCATATTCCCTCGCCATGTAATTCTTCTATACTGCGTACATACAAAAGCGTTCTAAAGTTGTCAGGCCGCGATCCCAATGCATTACATGGGATAGCGGGCTGGAAACATTTGAAAACCCTTGTACGAGGTGCGAACATCTATATTTGCGAGTTCGACATTGATGGGTGAGAGATAAGAATGTGGCAGTGGTGTTGTATTGTGCATTGATTCACTAATCATTCAAGGAGGTTTCGTGGTACCATTATGACGTGCACATATCTTTTCATAATTTCAAAGTGAAGTATGCATTTACTGACATTTTCATACCACGCCGATGCTATGCCGTCCGGTTTCCCAAGGTTCGGCAGCTACTGCTGTGTGTCGTAGTGCTTGAACAATTGCAGAAGTCACAAGAAGCCATATAGATTCATTTGGATATACACTTGCCCAGTGTGTCGTACTTCAATGTCGGCTACTGCCAACTCTAGTTAGTGATGCGTGCATTGTCTGTTCTCGCTTTATTTGTTACAGGTTATTTGTAGCTTACATGCATTTGTTCTCTGCTTTGAATTTTCGTGCGTGCGACGCTCTTCTCAATCTGTGATTTTTATATGCTCAGCTTCAACCTTGTCTTGGAATAAAAACATTGCGGTTACTCTGTCTCTTAGAAAATTGCATATATTGACCGCTTGTGCCAAAAGAAAAACAAGCTCGATGAATAAAGTCGTAGTGAATTGTGATTATCTGCACCTCTTTCTATAGTAACTTATTCAAATTAAAAATGACGCTATGATATCAATTCTCACGAACAATTTTGAGCTAGACGAAATAGGGAATCACTGAAGCAAAACGACAAATAGCCTAGACATTTGGACGGAAAAAAGTGGTCTGAAATCATCAAATTTCGCCATAGCCAAACGTCCGTTGCACACAGTAGTTTGAAATTCGTGCCAGTCAAACTGAAGGAGGAAGCGCAGGTCAGTTGCTCTCTAAAAGCGGCCAACCTACACGCGACAGACGTGGTTTTCGTAGACGCCGCTAAATACGTGGACAAACCCCACTTTGCAGCTGTGGCGTTCGCCCCAGACGGAAAAGCTCTTAATGCTCTTACCGTAAAAACACAGAAAGCCTGCTAGGCTGAACAAGTGGCCATTGCCCTTGCTCTAGCACTCCCTCAGCGCGACACAATATTACCGACTCTAAACCCGCTGCACTGGCATACCGCCGCGGTACACTTTGCCAGGCGGCGTTAAGAGTTCTCGCATCTGTTCAGATAGCTGTAGACAAGCATATCCACCGGTTCCCGGGTCATGAAGGGATCAACGTTCAACCAGGGGTCCCCAACGGTAATGAGCTGGCCCATAACATCGCGCGTGATCTTACGTGCCGCGGGGGGTCGCGGTTCGGCTCACTGGCCGGGGACACCAACACGCACCGGGAGCCACTCCTATCATATAATGAAATTGCTCGCACTATAAGTTATTTAGAAAGGAATTCCCCTCACCTCACTCAGCACTCAATAAAGCACAACAATTAACGCTTCGACTGCTGCAAACGCACAGTTACCCCAGCCCCTATATCTGCAGCAAATACCTACCAGATATAAGGCCAGAATGCCCCAAATGACAAAATTCAAGGTGCGATTTAATCACATGCTGTGGCAGTGTCCCGTGCTAAACGCTAGCTTCGGGTCCCCTGCCACCGAGGACGACTGGTTCAACCACCTCAGGAGCCCCGACAGGGCCCTTCAACACCAGGCCGTCCAGAAGGCCCAAAAGGTGGCTGGCGAGCTCCGACTCCCAGTCCCCACATGGGCGGAGCCACCGGGCTGGCCCCCGTAAGGGGTGCCCAGTCCCCTTGAGGACCTTTATTAAAGTTAATTCTCTCTCTCTCACCAACCACTAGGTGTGCTAAAGTCGATTGGGCCTCCGGGGCCTATGGGAGTGTTAACTATTTTTACTTTCGCTATGGTACCAGTACCATGTGCTTATTATACATGTAGTGTCTGATTTCCTTTGAATAGTAGCGTTCTTTGAAACAGGCCAAATATGATACCATAAGTAGAACAGAAAAGTCTCACAGGAAATAATTGCCAGATTTACATTAAAGAGCTATAGCTGGTAAAAGCGTACGTATATCTCTCCTTTTATTGTGGTCAGGTTGTAAGAGGTAGCTTTTGCGGCATGTAGCTTGCGCGATAAAGTAACCGTCAAGAGATTAGTCTACGATTCACGGAGCCTGTAAAACAACAACAGTACGTTCGGTGCCTTAACCAATATGCTTAAAAAGCGTGGCAATGCGCTGTAGTATACCGAGTGCTCATTTCTTAACGTCGGACGAATTACTTGCCTAAAATAACCGAGGCTTAATTAAATGAACGCGAAGTAGCAGAGGAAGAATGGTGGGACCTTATATACACTCACCTTGCGGCACGTGTAGCACAGCAACTGAAAGCCCTGCAAGGACATCGGCCACGAGGAACGACCGCACGCTGTAGCTTCTCATCCACGCTACGCATGGGAATAGTCCAAGCAAGAACGACGGTACCCGGCTTAGAACGCAATTGTGCGCGTTCGTATCGCTCTCACTGAACGATGCTTCTTCTTTTGCGTCAGGTTCGAACAAAGTGAGAGCATCGGTTGTCAGCGCCTTACGGTTCACAATGACCCTTGCATCGGCCAGCAAGGTTAACTCTGCAAGATGGTAAACAGATACCATTTTGCCCGTTAAGGCAAAACCCGCTGTGTTGGGTCGAAGTTTGACTTACCACAGTAGTCTTTAGTGGCTAATACACTAGGCTACTGACCCGTAAGTCGCAGGATCTAATCCCGGCCATAGCGATGGCATTTTCGATAGAGGCGAAAATACTTGACGCCCATGTGCTCAGTTTTAGGTACACGTTAAACAAGCCCAGGTGATTGAAATTTCCTGAGTGCTCCGCTACGGCGACTTTCATAATCATATCTTGTTCTTAGGACGATAAAGCCCCGACAGATAAAACAAAAATAGGTTTAACTCTGTGTCTAACAGGTCCGTTTCTATTTATCTGGGCGTGAAAACAGCGCGCGAACACGGCACATTGGAATCAAACGCATACATAAAGCGCTTATTTATAGCTGATGTTATAGCTTGCAAAGTAATGAATAGGAACAGACACAGAAACATTAAATAGCCAAGCCCCACTGCTAGTTCGATCCAGCACGATTGGAGTTATCACCCGAGAAATTCATTGCAACGTCTTTCTCTCTAGCTTTGTCGTCACGTCAATTGGTGCCTTGTAACGCTGAGCCATTAGCGCTTCATCCAACGCTGATCTTGTAGAACACTGCGTACGACAAAAACCCACTTGGACTCGTAAAGTTAAGGGTTTGATCCGTTATCAAACCCATAAGTCCTTTAAGTAGTCTACCGAAGAGCCTTGAAACTGTTTGCCATTGCTTTGGAAAAACATCCTACGCCTTACATCTTCGAAAGCGACCTACACAGTCGATAGTGTTCGCATCTATATAGCTTTCAAAGGGTTGATTTTATGCAATGTAGAAGTATAGCTGTTCACTTCAGCTAACTTTCTTTGCATAAGTGCAGCCAGAGTCTAGCTTTGTGCTTTAACAGCAAGTATAGTTAAAGCACAAAGCTAGACTCTGGCTGCAAGTATAGTTAACAGCAAGTATAGTTACGGCCGAATTAAAAAAAATATGCTGAATTCTCACCGACAGGTGCTGCCAAACCATATTTGTCAGCATTTATTTTAGATATGTACCAAATCTCGATATAACAATAGTTTTTCATATCGTGTGGAACAGCGTTTTCTGACCGTTGCTCACTTCTATCAATGCGCAGCTGAACTTTACCCTAACAACCATCACAACAGTGTTTAAGGTGCCTCTTCTCACCAACAGGATGTAGCCGGGAACTAAGTACGGCATACAGTAGCTGAGTGTCTCGAGTGTTCACTTAAAAATGTCTCCAGTATTTCTAAACAGTTTTCAACGTTTCGGAACAAAATGGTCATCACCTAGATCGAAGAAATACTACGACCACCAACATGTGAGTGGACAATCAGATGGCTTGCCTAATTACCAACCTTTCCCTGGAGAAACTGCGACTTTTTTTTTAGGTTCATTGCGAAGTCCCACGTTTTATATCATCTAGACGTAGATATATGACAGGAAACTGCGCAGCAGAACTTCATACGTCTCGTAGCTTTGACGTCTGATTGCTGTGGACCAGTGCATTACTTTCCACACCCTGATAAGCGATCACTTTGAAAAAGCGATTTCATTAGCTGGAGTGGCAGTACCGCTTATTACTGAGCCGTCGCGTGCCTATATTAAAAATTTACACTGCACCATTTTTATTAATATATGTGACGGGGTCACCTGCGCACTAAACAATGCTTGCGGCTGCTAGATTTATTGATTCTTTTAAGTTATTCAACTTGTACAAGCGTCTGTTATGACCTCAAAATTTCTTTCGTACTGCGATTGCTAAATGATGTTCCCAGTGAAATATTTTCAATAAAGAGCTATTAAAATTGCCCTTGAGAAAAAGATGCTAACTCCTAGGAACTATAGCAACGTTCGCAATGGGGATGCTTGTAGGTCTACTATTCTTTAGCACAAAAAACTTTTTTAAAAAGGCACAATAAAAAACTGCAACAAACACGAGCGCTTGCGTTTGGTTTGGTTTGAAAAAAACAATGTTAAAAGTCCGAAGGCATATGCCCTAGCACACGGCGGGCCGCTCACACGTCGGGACGAAATGGCCGAGACTTATGCCGCCACATCGGCCCTCTGGACAGACCAAAGTTGTCATGTTACGTCCTGGCTCCGCAGAGAGCAGTCATATTTGCTGGACGATGCTTTATCGATGCCACATATACCGAAGGGTGCTTCCAGAGCGTGCGGTGTAAATTGGCTAAAGCGCCACATTTTTTACACGAGTTAGTGAAATAAACCTCGTGATAAAGCTAGTCGAGAAAGGCACAATTTTGCGGCCATTGTTTTAAAGTTTTTGTTTTTGCCAAAAGAATACTTCAAGACTATTTCATTTTTGTAAGAAGGTGTGCATGACATGTTCATAGCGAAAATTTGCGCAAAAAAAAAAACCAGGAAAAAATAGGATAAAGCAGAAACAGTGTCTTACATTACTTCTTTGTTGTTTTTGCGCAGTTTTTTCGGCTATGAAGGTTTACCAACAAGCTCCAGTTCCCACGCTTCTTATGACATGTTAGTTTAGCATGTATTGAAACGAAATGCTTACCGCAATCAAAATCTGCCGGTTCCAATGACTGCAGCCACAATTTGTAAATTTTGAAGTTTAAATGTAAAGCAGTATGTTGTTCACTATTATTCTTTTTTTAAGTGAAGTTCTTGGCTGAAGAAGTACTACCATCTACTACATATGTTTTTGTTTATTTGTGCTATTATTGGCTTATACCAGCGAAATATTTAAACAAATACTGAGGCGGCGTTGTATATAACCCTACTTAACACCACCAAAAATTCGCATATCCCAAGTATACCTTGGTAAGCGACGTTACGCGAAGCATGCTGATAGGAGGAATTTAGCTAGACATACTACGAGCGTGAACTGTGGTAAACTGAAATGCCTCATCAGCACGGAATGGTGATTACGTGCAGACACATCGCGAATACGCGTACACCTCTGACGTATTTGGGACGTTAATATGTTGATGTGGCATGAATACGAGTCTAGCGGGCTTTTGACACCACCTTAACTTGATCCAAATTATTACTGTGATATGTCAGAATCGTCGTCAGAATTATAGTTGTTCCTATAGTCGTCCGTTGATGCGGCGATGAGGAGCCTAGGTACACTGAACTTTGACGTATACTTTAGTTGCTTCAAATTGTTCATGTCTGTTATGAAGTAGTGGTCAATGACACCGTTGCTCCTCATCGTGGGCATGAGATCTCCAGAGGCTCAGTCTACATAAAACAATTCTTTCATGTATTCTCTGAGCGAGGCCTGGTTGTGTTTGGAACGCCTACATTACATCCCTAATTATGCTTTACCTATGCTGTACAAGCTTGTCATTGTAAACCACTCTCTTCTGTAATGCCTTCGTTGGCCCTGAGGGTACAATAAATGAAATGAATGAAATGAAATAAAGTCATCAGCTATGATTAGAAACAGTTAGCTGATATGTAGTGCTTGTACCAGCAAGGACTGCGGCCCTGGGCACTGTTAGACAAATCAGCTTCAGTGAATGGCGCTTCACCTGAATTATTGTTGTCTCGACGTGACGGCTGTATAATAGAAGTACCTATGCACTGTTTTTAAGCTTGGACAGCCAGCACAGAAACCACAATTGACGCTTCACGAACAGTATGGTCTACTTGAAAGCCAGTTTTGACACCTGGCGTAGCTCTGTGGTAGAATACTTGACTGCCACGTAGAATGTCGGGTTTGATTCTTGTTGGACCCATAAAATTTATTATATGGGTTCATTGGGCCAATGCTGCCGATACCAGTCTTAGGGGCAAAGCTACTTAGGGCCTACCTAGTTGGCGCCCACCACGACCCACAAGAGACAAACAAAAACTGAACACCTGCAAAACCGAAAACGAAAACAGATGTGCAAACAAAGGTCTTAGTGCGTAATCAACTATACGCATTCACCATGATGGTCTTATGGCTAAGGTACTCGGCTGCTGACCCGCAGGTCGCGAGATTGAATGCCGGCTGTGGCGGCTACAATTTCGATGGAGGCGGAAATGTTGTAGGCCCGTGTGCTCAGATTTGCGTGCTCGTTAAAGGACCCCAGGTGGTCGAAATATCTGAAGCCCTGCATGACGACGTTTCTCATAATCATATGGTGGTTTTGTGACGTTAAAGCCTACATATCAATCAATTCAATCAACTATACGACAGCACAATTAATGACCACCTGCGCCGTTCGTCTCTCCGCCCCTCCATGCATCCATTCGACCGTTCATGCATCCTATCGTGTTTGAATACGTCCATGTGTCCGTTTGTCGTCCTGTCCGTCCTTTTTACTAACCGGTCACTTCAACGTACACATAATAGACATTAGAACCTATAGCTTCGCCCGCTCGTCATCATTCGCATCGTGGAGGTGCACTGATTCTTCCTAAACCTCTCGAAATGAGATTACCAACGTCTGTTCTCGCCGTTCTTTGGATAGTTTAAACTCATAATCACTTTTAGTGCATTGCGCTTAACTAGAGATGGTCTTAACCTGACGTGTGGGCTGTATTGTTGAAGTATATATGTAATGTTCATAAATTCCAAGGCCATCACTGCATCCCCAGTTGACGCTTCACAAAGATTACATTAATTTTGAAAGGCACCTACAAGACCTGACATGGCTCTGCGTTAGAATACTTAGTTGCAACTCAAATACTGGAGTTCGATTCCTGCTGAGACCCTGACATTTTTTCCGCGCAATCGGGTCAACGCACTCGACGCCAGCTTTTGAATAACGCTTGCGCGTTAAAAATATCCATGTGTGTTTTAGCCGTTCCTAAGTAGATATGAACTGTCAATCACCTGTGGCACACACTCGCATACAAGTGGCACACACGTGCCCGCCCGTGTGTATGGGTCACTGTCTGGCGGGAGGTGTTCCACGACCTACGCGATGGGATGGGGACATTACTATCACGCGATAGCATTAAAGAGATCGTTTCGCGAAAATTCCGGTGTCGGCGTCTGTGTCGGCAGCAGTGTCCTTGTTTGTGAGCGAAAACTCATGATTTTGTGCTGGACTGAAAAATCATCCTTTGCGTGACAAAAAAATAATAAAGTTGTAAATAAAATAAACAAATGCTGTGCCTCAGTGAGGATCAAACCCGGGTCATTTGCATGGCAAGCGCCTGTTCAACCTTAGATCCACGCGTCTGCTTGAGAGTACAATGAAAGTAACTTCCTCTGTTTGGCTGATCGGTATGTGGGGTTTGACATCTCGAAACCATCATATGATTATGAGGGACGCCGTAGTCGAGGGATCCGGAAATTTCGACCTCCTGGGGTTCTTTGACGTGCATCCAAATCTGAGCACATGGGCCTACAGCATTTCCGCCTCCATCAGAAATGCAGCCACCGCAGCCGGGATTCGAACCGACAACCTGCGGGTCAGTAGCCGAGTACCTTAGCCACTAGACCACCATGGTGGGGCAATTCCTCTGTTTGTAAATGTAGTGAAAGTAACACATGCCTTACAAACGAACACGTCCTATATAAATGCTTCAGCATTCAGCACGCATTAACGCAGTAACAATGTGTGTTACACGCATTCATTGCGAATGGCTTAAAGAAGACCACCCACTACAAAAGTCACGTTCCGGCCCCTTTTTGTTTAAGGCCACGTAATTGGTACATAGCAAGCTCAGAAAATTTTCACGCACACAAAATAATCCGACGACTAGGACACAGACACAGCTTTTCTCTCACGCCTATATTCGCCAAAACCAAATCTCACATGAGCAGTTTTTTTCTGTGCTCCATAAAAGAATGGAACTCTTTACCTGTTCACGTCATACAATCAGAAACCTTTGCAAAAGAATAGGAAAACCACTTCTCTTGTTATTTAGCGTTTAAACATTTCTTGCAATTGTGTGGTGAATCCCATGAGTCTTGCACTGTAAGTTTTTCTTCTTGCATTGTTAGTATTTTGTGAATGCCTTGTCATTGCGTTATTGTATCTGCCCCTCCTACATAGGCCAGCATATTGGCCTGCAGTATCAATGAATAAATAAATAAATAAATAAATAAAAGTTACAGAGAATGCTGTCGTATGCGAAAGCTGCACGGAGACAAGATATCTTGGGCTAAGTACGTTCTATAGGGACGTGATATCGCTATCGCGTTCTACTCTAACAAGTAATCAAAACAAAAACAGAGTAAGTTCCTTTATGCAACGCGAATGAGTAAATAGGCGCAAGACTGTGATCTAACCAGACTCTGAATAAATATATTTAGATGTCTTCACTTGGATGCATTTTTCGTTTGCATAAACATACCTGTGCATATGGCCGTACATGGAGACGCCGTACTGTTTACAGAAGTCGACGCGAAGCTCAGCCGATTTTGATATGGCGAGCGGTAGTGGCACGAAACATTCTGAAGTAATATTTCTGCGTGATAAACAGTATTCAATCAGAATGTGCATTGCATTAGAATTAGGAGAAACAAATGCCGCAAGCGCCACAGTAACTTCGAGCAATTGCCAGCATGTGTATAGCTTTTACAAGCATTTTTATTAGTGGCAACATTCATAATTATGATGCACCCATAACGTATACTCATTTAGTCAGGAATTTATCGCACCGGTAAATATAGCTTGAGAAAAGACAGTATACAAAATACTGAATTTCGTCAACGCGCCCAACCATCAAGATTCGTTCTGATATTCGGACGCGTGAGTTCCTTAGTATAGCCGCTTCTGGGGAAAACCACACTCGGGCAACGTGAAGCTGACGCCTCGCAAAGATGCAGCTGATCTGACCGTATTCCACAGAGAACTTGAGCCTTGTTTCAAGAAGACTTCATTCGAGAACTGCTGCGAAGCTCAAGATAACAAAGAAAACGAAAAACTAGGCGCACAGTCACATCACGCTCAGCCGTGTTGGACTAGAAAGCTTTAATGCGTGACTCGATAACTAAGAAGGCGTGACACAATCACATGTGCTTCTTTCACATGCATCGCTTGTTAATTTCAAGGACTACGCGTTTAGGAATTGTTAAGGTTTTCTCGGCACAGAATGTACCAATCAAGTTTTTACAGCAGCACCTTCACTTTTGTGTCTCAACCTGCATAACTTGTTATAGACAAATAAATTGATGATGCCGATTGATTGGCAACATCGTAAGTTTTCATGTTGTGCTTACAAAGTGCTTCAACGATAACATGCAGCTTTTTGTGAAGGACGCCAGGTGAAATCACTAAGGAGGCTCAGATGTAAACATTGTCACCCATTTCATCGACAACCACGGAAGCTGCATCACTGTTCTTACTCTGTTTCCACTGAACTCTTCCTCAATTTATGGGCATGTGCAAGCGGTAGCTTATTGTATTGACGCGAATACAAAGCGAACAGTGAGAGCATTGAAATAATTTCGCATGAAAGAAAATATTTGCAAAGCCATTATATAGGACCTCCTGTATACACACAAAAAATGACGAATTATAGAACAGCGCTTCGGTGTATTGTTAATGGATTATTAATCTTCAGTATACCTTTCTGCAGTTTTTTGACATTAGCCATGAGTCGATAGAAAAGTGACGTTTTTAATTGTAAGGAGCATTACAGGAAGGCAGTGGGTTGCGAATTGTTTACAAGTTCTAGGCAGAAAATTGTGAGAAAGGACTTCAAAACGACTTTTTGTGTGGTTTTGTTTTCAACTCTGAGGATAATGTGGTGCTTGTGCAATACGATATGACATGTGAGATTCGAATCGACGTCGATAACAGTCAACACGTTTATATAGCAAGGGCGTAGTCAGTAGCCCGCAATTTAATTGATCGTATCATGAGCTGAATCATAACCGTATCAGAGCTGATATTTCAAACACAAAGCATTTCTTTGCGCACTGCGAGTCCTTTTGGCGTCTTTATGCTTATATCATATGACGCCATATCTATCTGTCTTGCCCATTACGATTGAGGACTCCGGTGTTCACCCTCTAAACTTAGCGTGAATCAAAATTACTATGATAAGGTAAGATTGTTTGACGAATATGATGCACTGGTCAACACATAATTATTGTCACAGCCCCGTCACGTAATAGTCAAACACTTTCCGTCAAACAGTGACATATACCCGCGGGTGGGTATGTGCAGCCGGAAGGTGAGTATGTGCCACAGGTGACGGAAACTTAGTACTTATCCAGGAATAGCGAGAACACACAGGGGTAATTTCACCGCGTGAGCGTTGAGAAAAAAAGTAACATTGATAGCGTTGACCCAACAAACGCCCAAAATAAATATCACGGTCCCTGCAGAAATTAAACCCCAGCATTCTGCGTGGCAACTGAGTATTCTGCCAAAGGGCTAAATCAGGTCTCTTAAGATCTGTTTAAATAGACCCTAATGATCTTGAAGCGTGAATTGTGCACGGTTGCAGTACTGGCCATTCAATTTTATAAATATTACCTATGTGCTACTATGATATAGCCGCCACGTCCGGCTAACGTCAATTGTTATTAGGTGACATTCGGTAAAGTTGATCTGTGTAGCTAAAATCATCTAGGGTTACCATCATTGAGAGCACCAGCGCTTCAAATGAGCTTATCGCTTCTGGTGTTACTGTTACTCATGTACCTGTTGGGATCATTGCGCAGGTGCAAACAACTGGTTGTATAAGCATCTGTAACTGTTCAACATATCTCTGTGCGTGCGACGTTTGTACCCACATTTAGCGTCACTTCCCAAAGTGACGCCCATTTAAAAAGTTACAACATAGTCACCTTCGCTCCGCATGCTTCGTCTAATGTCGATCCTCAAGGTATTTGGGATCTGGCAATGTTTTTATCTTTTCAAACTCAATGTAGATGACAGGTCGATTGAAACTACGTTTGGCCAAGCAGAAACTGAATGGTTACAAACAGACATAATTATACAATTTAGGGTTCCGTTTTGTTCATTCCCTTATATGATTCCTTATTTCGTTGGGCAGCATAACAGCTAATCAATTCTCGTAATCACTAGCACAAAAACTTGACCAGGCGAATAGATTCTGTACTAATAACTGAGAACCTGCATTGGCAAAAATTGAACAGGATTTCCAAATTCTTGTAAGATTACGTACCCGGATCAGTCAGGGGCGTTTCATGAGTTGATATGTCGACATCCATGCCTTTGGTTTATTGTCTGAGAGCGATTTGAGACGCGGGATTTTGTCTCAAACTAATTTCCTCGCCAGGCCAGAAGGCAAGCCCCACTGCTTCCAATGCATAACGTATTCCAATTCGAGTCCACTCTGTCTGCCATAAGGTCACCACACCAATGAATACTTCACTCACGGCAAATGGACTCGGTCAAAAAGCCGCTGCAAGGTACATCCAGAATGGCGTTATCAGCAATATCTCATCTACGGTAACTTCGGCCGGACAGTTTCTCGCTAAAGAACGTCGCACCCCGAAATTTCGCGCCTTCACCTTTATGCTTGTCAAGCGTCGAGTGGATATCTTGCAAGTGTCGGCGTTTATTGGTGATATGCGACGTGCTACCTCGCACGTCCTTACCACTTCTCTTTTTATCAAGTACAGTTGATTGCAGGAATAGCAGGTCGAAGCTAAGAAGTGGAGATAGTCTGAGACGTAGCTGGTAGGCACTTAGCCAACAAGCCAAAAGCTGCAACGACGTGCTCGATGTACATACACTTGGAAAGGGTGCCGCGTTGACCCAAATATGCTACTTTTCAAGTGCGAGCGATATGCATTGTTGGATTATTGTCAAGCTCACGGGATAAGTCTTCAAAAAAAAGGGTCACTGCAAAAATAATGCCAGATGGTTTCTGTCAGTGCGGAGGCTTTATTTCTTATGGAATAAAAATTTTCTGACTCTAAATCATTGCAATGAAATTTTCACAAGCCATGACTTTAGATTGCGCAGCATGAAGAGAAGTGATTGAAATTCAGATTTATATTACGGAAATCTTCCATGGGCAAAAGAAGTGAGCCATACATGGTACCACGTTTTTAGCGCAACCAGGCAAAAAAAAAAAACTTATCTTCTTCAACATTCAAATAACAACACCTCTCGGGGATAGCCCATAAATGATGGCCTGGGGAACTAATTACTCGCGATTCTTAAGAAGAAATGGCTCAATGCTGTGTACACGACTGAAATGCAACGGACGAAATATGGTTGCTATTTTAACAAATGCGAAGCATTTCTTAGCGAACTTTGGTGACTTTGAGCGTATATATCCATCTAGCCACTTACGTTTGGGTGCTCTCGTGGTCACCCTCATAACTTGGTGGGAATAAATATTAGCGTGGGAAAATAAGATGGTTTGATGAACACGACACGCTGGTCAAGACATGAATAAAGTCACAATCCTGTCGCGTACGTCGTCAAACACTGCCGGCCACACAGTGGCACATACCCACGGGCGGGTATGTGCCGCTGATATGCGGGTATGTGCCACAGGTGATTAGCAAAGTACCTACCCAGGAACGATGAGAACGCTCATGGGCAATTTCAACGCGCGAGCGTTAAGAAATGCCCGACATCGATAGCGTCCACCCGACAATTTCAAAGAATAAATGTCAGGGTCCCAGCTGGAATCGAACCCAAGCATTCTGCGTGGCAATGAAGCATTTTGCCACAAAGGTACGCCAGGACTCGCAACTACTCATCAAATAGACGCTAATATTCGTCAAACGAGTTGCAGTGCTGCTTACGCCATTTTATAAACATTACATGCGCACACCTTTGATACAGCAGTCACGCGGGTAAACGTGAACTGTGGTTAGTTTCCATGCGCTGAAGTCGATTTATGTAGCAGTGTTCAGGCCCAGCATTCTCGCGAGCATCCGCACTTCTTATCAGCTTCTGGTGTCGCTAATACGCATGTTCCAGTTGGCATTGTTGCGCAAGTGCAAACTGGTTATATTAAAATCTGCAACTCTTCAACATATGTCTGTGTGTGCAACATTTGTACATATAATTAGCGTCATATCATGACGTGTCGCTCAATAAGAAATTTGCAACACGGTCACCTTCCCTCCGCATGCTTCGCTTAACGCCGACTCCCAAGTACACGGGATCTACCAACGTTTTATAAAAACGAAATGGACGCTTCGTAACGTTAAATAACATCGCCTCCTGCCGTGAAAATGAACTTGAAATAAAACACGAAACAGCACACGTAAAATTAAGAACAATTACGCCATTTTGTCAGCGTGGCGAAAATAAAGAACAAGAAGAGAAGGCAGCTGTTTGGCGCGAGCACGCTCGATACAGTTTTCAGAATTACCACGCTCTCGTTGTTATATGCACTTATGATCATCATGGAGGGTCCTGTGGCTGACTTGTACATGTGACCCTCGTCTGCATAGTTTACGCTCTGTAACACTATTTTATGTCATAACAAGTAAAACGCGATAGATTCGTTGGTGATTGACTTATTCAAGGAAAAAAGAGGCCACCTTGAAGGGGCAGAGGGGCATATTTGTTGGAAATCCGATGCGCTACCTAAAATAAGGTAGTTTCAAATTTTAGGGAAAACAGCAGTTCTAGAATAACAGAAGACATGCACGGAGATTAAATGACAGCACCGGGTCCGTGAAGAAAATTTATTTCCAGAATGATTAGCAGGAAGGAAGAAAATGCTAGGAGCAAAGTCAAAATTTGTTCGACGAGATATACCTGCGTGACGAATATGAATCGCAGGTGGTGGTAACATGAAAATCAGGACTCTAATTTCACGTATGACATGATTTAGAGGCCACGCTTATGGTGGACTCAGGCGCGGTTGGCTAGCCTGGTGTTGTCACACTCCTCTGTAAAGTTCAATTACCACCCCGTACACTTGTGAGGTCCGATGGACAACATCAAGCAGATATTCTCAGAACCTTCTGATGCAAACCCCCTTCCTTCTTCAGTGGGGTTACACAAAAGGCCGAGCGAGACATTTTGCATCCTACGTAATCGCACTGGGGGGGGGGGGGGGGTTCCAATGTTGCCGCCGATGCCATATCACCCACGACTGCTTGTTTTCTCGCCACTAGACGATGCGAAAACAGGCCGTAGCTGCTCTCGCTTTAGCTTGAATGCGTTTTTCATGGCGTCTGTAGCCTATTTCTCTCGCCAGGAGGCGTCACTCCTAGTTAAAAAAGTATAGAAATGCAGCTGCAAAGTGTTGAAACAATCTCGATTCTCTCAGTAATAGGACAAGCATGGAACAGAGGTTTATAACTACAGTTCAATGGGTCAGACTAAAAGGGGTTGAAGCAATGGAATATATGAAAACACTGACAATAATGACAGAAACATTGAAACGTCAAGAAAGCGCTGCATACACCGTACCAGATAAGGATGAACCAATTAGCACAATGGCTCAACTGGGACTACGAGAGTGGTGAAGGGCACAGAAAAGGGTTCCTAATGGCACATCAACAGGCTCCGACGGCATCCCAGTTATGCTACTACTAAAACTGTGACCAAACTCTAGAATAATATTAAGAGAGGCAGTGAGCAAAGCAATATTGAATAGCGAAGCCCCCAATAGGTGCAATTTAAGCAGGATCAGCATGATCTGTAAAGGTAAGGGGGACAAAGCTGACATAAATAACTACCGTCCCATAACAGTGACATCAGTAGTTTACACGCTGGTGAGGCAAATAGTAAAGGAAAGACTACAGACATGGGTGGAGAATGAGGGGGTGCTGGGAGAACTGCAAGGTGGGTTCCGTAAACGAAAAAGGCTGCAGGACAATCTGCTTTCATAATGCAGTGTATTGAAATAGCGGAGAAAGAACACAGGCTCCTGTGGCTGACATTTTCAGATATTAAGGGAGCTTACGATCGTGTGATTCAAGAAGACTTCTGGGGAATACTGCACACCCTAGATGTGGAAGATGCCATAACAAATCTTATAAAGGATATCTATAAAAGTAACTAGGTAGTTATAAAATGGGTAGAACAGGTATCTGAACCTATAGAGATACAACGCTAGCCTCCACAGGGATGTCCCTTGTCACCATTGTTATTTATGCTGTATATACAAGGATTAGAAGACAAATTAGCGGGTAGTCGACTCGGCTTCAGCCTCTCTTTTTCTAAGCAGGGAAAACACTTGAGCAGTCATTACCAGCATTGATGTATGCTGATAATGTAGTATTATTAGCAGATAAAAAAGAAGATCTAGACATCTGTGGTAATAAGGGAGATAGGTTAAATAGGGAGTTCAAGAGGGAAAAACCGGCAATCATAATTTTTAATGATAACAAAGGCAGTGAGCATAAAATACAGGTAGACACGCTGGAAATAGTGGATAAATACAAATATTTGGTCGTATAGATAAATAACGGGGCTGAGTGGCTAAGGAGTAAAAGAGATACGTAATGACTAAAGGTAACAGGAATGCAGCTCTAAGGAAAAAAAAATTGGTTGCGAATCTGCATGTTACACCGCAAATGGCGTCGAAAGACGATAGTCTTGCGTCTTGAGAGAATGAACAAAACGTTTATTTGAAGTTATGCACAAGAAAATTGGTAAATGGTATTCTGCAGGCGCTGCGTTAGAGTACCTCGAGCCTGTAGTGGAGGCAAACGAGCGCATCGAGGCACGTTAGACACAAGTGCCATCTGGCAGTTATCTTCGAAAACTAAGACGTGCAGCCCGCGGAGAAAGATGCGCGCCAGTCTCTTTGGTGATAAGGAGTAGAACGCAAAGCGACGGGCAGGTGGCACCACCATGACGCCGTAGCAAAGCGTTAGAAACATCTTTTTGAGCATCGCGTTGCATTGTCAGCGCAGCGCGATTACACGCTGCGTTCATTAGAGTTACTTGTGTGTGCCTCTTCGAGTATAAAAGCAGACATACAAAACAACGAGGCATTGTTGTGGCGCCTCAGACACGCGCAATAATTGTTTTTTAATTGACAATCGCACAACTATGAACGCTAAACCTTGAGCAATATTGGTGGGCACTGCGGATGGGGTTGGCCGTTTGGTGCCGTTTGAAGTATCGTTAGGGCAGACAAACAGACAAATGTACAGACAGACAGACAGACAGACAGACAGACAGACAGACAGACAGACAGACAGACCAAATTTTTTTCGCCGAAGGTCCCCAAGAAAGAATATCGTCATTAAAATAGGGCACTGTGGAACTACATTAGGTATGACGTTGTGAGAAGGGATTTGGAAAGGTGTCATGGTAGGGGGTTTGACGTTTAGCTATGTGGTCTTGCGCATAAAATCAGCGGTTCAAGCAAGCTTGGAAATTGCCCCGCCGCGGTGGTCTAGTGGCTAAGGTACTCGGCTGCTGACCCACAGGTCGCGGGCTGAAATGCCTGCTGCGGCGGCTGCATTTTCGATGGAGGCGAAAATGCTGTGTTGAAGATTCTCGTGTGGACGTTTTTCTTCAACACAAGAATCTGGAAATCATAAGGTTATTTTAGTACTTTAGCATTATAATGAGGCGTTTTAGAGTTGCACTCTTTTATAAAACAGGAGAGCGGTCACGACACG